GTTTAGGGAGATGGTATGTGTTTTAATACATCCGTGCCCTTTATTGACAGTGATGGGAACTGGGAACTGCAGCGACTCCAAGCCAACTGGATAACTTCAACTTTCCTCTGAGGGATAAAGCTACAACCACCCTTCAAGTCAACTGACCGAGTACCGATTCTCAAACGTTAGCTGGCGTATTTAAACAAGGCTACATGTTGTTGATTCAGACCGGCTAATGTCCGAGTGCAGCAATCTAACTTTACACAATCACACGGGAACAAAATGCATGATAAAATGCCCTCAGTCTGTGAATGAGACAAGCAGGGCTCAAGTTATGTGGGAGCCAATGGGAGCTGAGCTCCAATGAAAGCAGTGAAATCATACATCTGTGGGTGTCGCTAATACATTGCCAACAACCATTATTTTAATCACAAATAATGCATGTGTCAATGTAATGAGTATTATTTACATTGACGAGGTAAATAGGCTAAAAAAAAAAACATGTTTTCCAAAAGAACTACAAGCATCGTATTCTCTCTTGAATGACAATATACCTGCACTTCACGTCCAAGGTGCGCAATAAATTATTGTGCAATCTATGCCTGTGAGCATGCTGCGCGACCCGAGATGATATGTGTGTGCGTAGTTGAACCTTTTCATATTTAAGTTTGTAGCAAGTAGAGGGCTGCTGCTGCTGCTGTGTGTGTGTGTGTGTGTGTGTGTGTGTGTGTGTGTGTGTGTGTGTGTGTGTGTGTGTGTGTGTGTGTGTGTGTGTGCTTGCACGTGAGTTAGTCAGTTAGTTAGTTTTAAAGACCCCCATAAAGCTCAGATTATAACTCGGCCCCTGGAGACAAGTGTCTGTGGTTAATACAAGCCAGTAATAATAACAAGTCTGAGGACATAACAAAAAAAAAAAAATGGAGGGTATGCTTTCTAAATTGGAACCATATTGTCGTTTTCGCTGCCCGTGTTTTGCCCACCTCCTGTTGTTTGAGTATTGCATGAATATCTTGCATAATAACGCAATTATATTTTTGTAAGGCTTTGAGGTGATATAAAACACTTCATTGCATGTGTTCACTTATTTAACCTATGCAATGAAGAGTTGTGATCTCGTTAGTCACTCAAGTTATGTTTTCACCAAATGGTGAAAACATAACTTGAGTGAGCTTTACTATGAAAGTATGGCATATTCTTTTTTATTTAACGGGATTTTTCAGCACTGCAAACTCTAGTTTTGTGCTGTGATCTGTAAGACTGTGCTGGGGGATAAGGAGCAGAGCAGTAACAGGCCTCTGCGATTTCAGTACCATGGATAGCGGTTATACAAAAGGCTAGAAGAGAAAGCAGAACAAAGAGAAAACTGGAACAAATAGGAAACACTTATTTAGCTCTCATACAGAGTGTGTTACTGGAAGAAAGGATGTAAAATAAAGTTACAAGACCAGACAATTGTCTTGTAGAGGACGATTAGAACTCACCTTGTCTTTATTCGGTAAAGTCTGAGTTCTGGTAAAAGTGTCTGGGCCTGGCATATTAAACAAGTAACCGCAAAAACACCATGCAGGGTTCAGCACCAGAGAAACTGCTCGTCACCCGAATGACAGAACAACCAACAAAGGCTTCACCTCTCTGCCTAAAATGCTATTATTCAGCAACTGTAAAGATAATTCAACATAGAAATATCGCAAGTTTGATGATTTAACTGTATATCCCCCACAATAACTATTTTGTTTCACATCATTTTTCACAGAAAGTCAGCAAATGTTGCAATAATCGAAAATCTGGTAATCTCATAACACGTCTTTCGGAAATGTAATGAATAAATCAACATTACTAAATCTACTCTTGGGTTCAAACAACTCACCTTTTTATTTATCGAAATATTCTAAATATTATGATGTATAATTAAGCATATATCACGGCCTGAAGTGAGCTATTGCTTTTATAAAACGGTTACCAAGTGTGGCAATATGAAAGAAAAATACACACTCTAATTTAAATAGTTTTTATTAGTAAATAATGATGTTCAAAATAAAATAGTCCCTCCGTTGCCTTCTGCACAAAACATAGTGCAAGGTGGTTGCTATGCAACAACACTAACAGCAAGCGAACATATTAGACAGAGAGCGTTGATCCATTATTTGGCTGTTTATTTATATTAATGTGTATGTTGCTGTTTATTGTGCATCCACTGAAAAACTGTCCAGCATCAGTAGCATGGCTTACGTGGTCACTTGTATAGGTTGAGGTTGTTCGAGGCTGTTGCTTGGCGTGGCGAGAATATTGCTCCACTTTCTCCGGTCCCCGAGATTGGGCTTCCAGTAGCTCTGGAGAGAGCTTTCGCACCTGTGGCCACTAACAGTCAT